CTACTTTGCTGGCTTCTGTGGCAAACCTTTAATTCCTATATTAATGGACTCTTAAGAACAAAGAACAAAAGAATAGGAAATATCTAAAATATCTTGCCCTTAAATTAATTTATTTTTAATTATTATCATTAAATACTGATTTTGACAATGGATATAAATACAGTATCCCCCTCTGCCCTTATTTGTGTGAATCCTTTCTAGTTTCCTAGTTTCCTTCATTGTGCCTTCTTTCCTCATTTGCAGAGTTGGAGGCAGAAATGGTATCTCTCCCCATAGAGTACATAAGTGAACATATACATGATTTTTGGAATAAAAGTGACCACTTAGTAACTGCTAATGTGCTTTCATCATCATTTTAGTCTGATTATTATGTTCAGCCCTTAACTTATCTTAATCCTCAAGTGTTTCATTGTCAGTTCATTTTACTTTGATTTTATGCTTAGATATCATCTCCCCAGAAGCTAATATGGAGAAAAGCTAGTATAAAGGAATTTATCTGTCTGTCTGTCTGTCTGTCTATCATCTATCTGTCTGCCTTCCTTCCTCCCTCCCTTCCCTACCCTCCCTCCTTCCTTCCTTCCTTCTTTTTATTTCATGTGTATGAGTATATTGCCTGCATGCATATAAGTGCACCTGTGTCATGCAAATGCCCACAGAAGTCAGAAGGCAGCGTTGGATCCCCTGGAACTGGAGCAGCTGCCGTGTGGGTGCTGGGAATCGAACTAGGGTCCTCTGCAAGAAGAGCCAGTGCTCTTAGGTGCTGAGCTATGTCTCCAGCCCCAGGAATGATTCTTAACACCAGAATTTTAGTCCTTCTTGTGATTTTATTTGTGACCTTGAACAAGTCACCTTGCCTTTCTAGACCTGTTTTACCTCTTGCATGAAATGAGAAGAAAATTGATTAGTAGATTGCCAGGAGCTGTCACCTAAAATACGTTTTTGATTTCTTTTCCAATGCCTTTTAGTACCATTTTCTTCTTTCGTGAATACATAGCATTTATGCTGTTACCCTCAGAAGTGTTTCTCCTTTGAAATGAGACTGTTATGTGGTATCCTGAGTACATGCAAGGTGTATTCTTTTTACCTACAGCTGTGATAGGCCCACACTATAGCCTTTTGTTTGTTCTTATATGCATTGAATATATTGTTGTTGAAAAATAATGATAGCAATATATTTACAAGATTCTGAACTTGTAAATTAATAGTAGGTACTCAGTCATTAGCCTTAGTGTACGGTTTGTTAATTTTTCTTAATGTGGTAGATTTATCCTTATCAAATTAAACTATCCAAATTTGTTTTTCATTCTGCATATAATCTTCACTCACATCATATAGTATTTATTTTCATTATAATTTTATTCCATTTATTTATTTATTCATTCATTCATTCATTCATTCATTCATTCAGGTCTTTTTGAGACAGGGTCTCCCTGTAGCCCCAGCTGTCCTGGAACTCACTAAGTAGACCAGGCTGGCCTTGAACTCACGGAGATCCCCCTGCCTCTGCCTCCCAAGTGCTGGGACTATAGGCGCGCACCACCACACCCGGCTATTTATTTATTTTTAAGGTGAGTGAAATACTGTCTCAAAAATCAATGTAAGAGCATAGTTCTATAAATGATGGTTAGAATTCCTTGGTTTAGGTTTTTTAAATGAATTTTATTTGAGACCTGGTTATTTTATCAATATTGTTCTAATTTTGTGTGATACTGATTTATGTAACAACTGTTATCTTTTACGGTAACTTGTTTTACTTGAAGCTATTCATTTTAATAGCCATGTGATGTAAATTTATATTATCATCAATTAAAATTTCTAGTGCCTTAATCTGAGAGATATGTTGAAGATGTTATAATAACTTGTGATTAAAGCTGGAATTATATGTCATAACCTCAGATAAGTTTAATTATGAATATAGTGTTAGTTTTCCCATAACTTTAAATCAAAATAGTTTCAGTCCTCTCTTTACTGATACAAGTATAAATTTTTATACTGAGAACAGTATTGAAGTATCTTGGTTGTTATTTAGAAGGAAAAAGGAAAAAAACTGATAGTAGATAATTATGAACTGTTGGCTTTTTTAAAAAGTAGCAGCAAGCTTTCTTTTACATTTTAAAAGGAAATTATATACTAGGAAAAAAATATAGTTGCTTTGTTCTGAGCTTATATAAATGAAAATTTGATTTATTTACGGTCATTACCTTAAAGCAGTTCCTGAAGCGTGGTCTGTTTTCATAGCTGCATTGGTTGAAGGTAGCGGTGGTGATTGCGTTCAGAAAAGTGCGTTATTCATAGTATATCAAATATTAGAGCACATTTCCCATAGATGTCTTTAAAGTTTATTTTTCTGTTTTTGGTTTTTTTGAGACAGGGTCTCCCTATAACCACAGCTGGCCTGAAACTCACTGTATAGACTAGGCTGGCCTCAATCTCACAGAGATCTGCCTTCCTCTGCCTCCTAAATGCTGGGATTAAAGGTGGGTGCCACTAGGCCTGACCA